CTGCTTATTTTGGGTTTAGTTTGCTTTTCTTTTTCTAGTTCCTTAAGGTGGAAGGTCAGGTTATTGATTTGAGCTGTTTCTTCTTTTATAATACAGGCATTTGCAGCCATGAATTTCTCTCTAAGTACTACTTTCTCTGCATCTCATAAGTTTTGGTATGTTGTGTTTTGTTTACCTAATCTCAAAGCATTTTTCTAACTTCCCTTGTGATTTCTTCTTTGAACCATTGGTTGTTTAAAAAGATGCTGTTTATTTTCCACACATTTGTGGATTTCCCACATTTCCTCCTCTCATCCCTTTCTACTTTCATTCCATTCTTATTGGAGAACATACTAGTGAATTTTCCATTTCGGGTTTTGTACTTTTCAACTCCAGAATTTCCATCTGATTCTTTTTTTCATAATTTTTCATAATTTATGTCTCTTTATTGGTATTCTCTCTTTGCTGAGCCATCTTTCTCATACTTTCTTTTAGTTCCTTAGATATGAATTCTTTAGTTCTTTGAATGTATTTGAAATAGCTGATTTCAAATCTTTGCACCTTTGTCTAGTAAGTCCAACATCTGGGCTTCCTTGAGGACAGTTTCTGTTGAATGCTTTTTGTCCTGTGACTGGTCCATCCTTTTTGTTTTCTTGCATGTCTCCTAATTTTTTGGTTGAAAAGTGGATATTTTAAATAATATAATGTAGCAATTCTGAAATCATATTATCTCCCCTTCCCTGGGTTTGTTTTTGATGTCGTATATAGTTGTGGTAGTAGTTTGTTTGTTTAATGACTTTGGTGAACTAATTCTGTAAAGTGTCCATTCTTTGCTGTGTGTGCCCACTCAAGTCTCTGTTTGATTGGCTTGGTGATCAGCCAATGATTGGGCAGAGATTCCTTAGACACCTGGAATCAGTGTGTCCCAGTCTTTACCAAGGACCTCTGTGTGTGTTGGGACATGCTTTCAATACTCAGCCTAGCATTTGATGACTCTGCCTTAGCTTTCACAGAACCTCAAGGTCAACCAGAGGTGACATCTTAGAGCTTTCTCAGGTCTTTCTTGAGTATAAACACAGTCCTGGGCATGCACACAGTCCTAAGTATGAGCAAAGTCTTATAGATTCCCCAGAATATTTAAAAGCTTTTCATAGCCTCTCTGGACATCTCATTTCTCATCTTTTCCTTTTAAGCTTTTTGATTAATCTGTTGTTTGTCCCAACTGTTATCTACTGCTTCAGGCAGCTATGAAGTTAAATAATTGCCTGTAGTTGGCTTTAATAAATATCTCTAGGGAAAAAGCTTCTCACACTGGGTAAGCTCAGAGTCAGGTCAAATACTGACAGTCTTGCAAGTGGGACCTTCCAGGGAACTACCAGACAAGTCAAATAATGGAAGTTCTTTAGGAAGGAGCTTTTGAAAGGTCTCCAGCCCTGATCTGCTCTCTCCAGTGGCTTTTGGACTGCTGGGTTTTACTGAACGTGGGCTGTTATTTTTCAAAGCTACTACAGAGCTGGAGAGTAGGGGAAGTCAAATTAAAATGCCACAAATTCTCTGTTTTTCAGCCATTTTTCTTGAATAAATACTCTCTTGGTTGCATAAGCCTTTGTTTGATTTCCAGAGTTCTGAAAAAGTTAATTTTGACTTTTTTGGGCTGATTTTCTCATTGCTTTTATGGAGAAGAGAATTTTCAGATCTCCTTACTTTGCTGTTTTTGCTGAAATCACTCTAATGTGCAACATTAATGGAAACTCATCTTCATAAAGGAATATAAATGTGCTTTCAAGACATAAAGCCCAGAGCTGGTACAAATAGGAGCAGAATAAAAGACTTATATTTTGATAGATGGTGAATTTTTAGCAGTCTCTGGCACCAGGGGATGATTTAAATGTAATATTTAACATGATAAATTGCTTTCTTATTGTGGCAGAGGCAGGTAAGAATTGCCTTTGGGATTTTTGAGCGGCTGTTGATGGACACTGGAAAACATGGTTGCAAAAATCTCAGCCACACATGAAAAGGCTGAAGGAGGAACCATAGTTGCAAAGACATGAGAAATAAATGCACAAGCTTTGATCAGTTGTGATTTGTTGTTATGAAAAATAAAGTCACTTCCATTGACATTCAGTTTGGGAAACTAATTGTAATGTCTTCTTGGAAGGTTGGGAGCTTCTACAGGGTAGAGATTGATTTTGTTTTAGTCTTTTCTCTTTCTCTAGGGTCTCGCATGTTGCCTAGTCTCGTGTGTGTGAGTCAAGACTTTCAGTAACAAGTGACAAAAACCCAATGAAAACTGGCTTAAGTAAAACAGTTCATCTAATATATCTGAATTTCCGAAGATAACAAACACGGATGTAGCTGGATTCAGGACCTCAGACATCTTTCCCAGGAACCGGTCTCTCTCCTACTCCTGACTCTGATTCCCCTTCTTTGGGTTTCACTTGACTCAGTCGTTGTGGACGTGGGGCTGGAATACGTTGATTGGCCGCATTTGGTTCACGTGCTCATCTGTGAAGCCTGATTTGGTGGTCTGGGGTCAGTGCCATCCCAGCTGCATTCGTTGGAGGCAGAGCGGGATGGTACCCGAAGGAAAAATGAAATGTCGTCATTAAAAAAAAGAGGGAAGGACGAATGCTCAGTATCTATGGACGCTCAAAATTAATGCCTGTCCATTACCACAGACAACACCCACATTGATAGTTTCAATGGGATTATGAGTTGAATTTAACAATTTGTTCTGGAACCATGATGCAGTCTCTTTTCTCTGTGCACACTGTGGTTATTCCCACATCCATCCCATTATCCCACCTTTGGTGATTTCTTATCTCAACTTCCACAGTGCCTCCTGCTTCCTGTCCTCGTGGTCGCCTTAAATGTAAATGTACACGTAGTTCATCTGCCTGGTGCGAATGGTATTCTCAGGAACATGGATTATAGTCACATCCTTTCAGATTTATCTCCTTGAGATTCTTCTATCCAGAGGAAAGGACACATGTAAAAAAAAAAAAAAACCCCGAAACTTATTTTTTCATTTTTCTTAGATTGGGTTGGCATTATTTTCAAGTATTCATTGAAAGTTGATGTTTTATACTGACAAGTAGCTATTATTTGCAGGTTTACTATCAATGAAGAACAGGTAATCTATAAACTGGGAATAATACTAGTAACTGCTTTCAGAGGGTTGTTGAGAAACTGAATGAGCAATTGATTACATGTCAAGTACTTACAACCCCTCTTTCTCCTGCTCTACTTTCTCCTCCTTCTGCTCCTCCTCCTCCTCCTTTGCTGACTCACCTCTTGGGATGGAGAATGAGGGACTGATTTAGAAAACTGAATGTTGAGCCCACTTGCTGCTTGTGCTGAGACTGGGGACTCCACGCTTGAAAGGAGACTTGAGCTAATGATCTGTTTGGTCAATTCTGTTGGGGCCCATCGGTGAATGCTGGCGACTCTCACTGCTGAGCTGTGTTGCCCCTTGTCCACCAGCTTCTGTGGTTGACTCTTTCTCTACAGCCAAGTGTGGGAGTAGCATCTCCTCTAGAACCCTCTGTGAACCTGCTCAGAGGTTCTTTAATTCATTCTTGGAGTGAATGTTTTAAAGCCCCTCCAGGAATAGCTGTAATTATTAAGCTCTTGTTGCTCACTCTGTTCCAGTTCTTTTCAAACTCAGACAGTCCAGCCCCAGAGCCTGTGCACCCGACCTCTCTCCTGCACGGCTCCTCACATGCCAGATACCGTCCAGGCTCCTCGGATGCGGTGGAGGTCGGAACAAAGATGGCGCAGACCCTTGGGGAGTTTACAATCTAATGGGCAGTCAGAGATTAAAACATCAACAAAAAATAAGCAGATAGTGAGCATCCGTGGTCATTGGCAGGCAGGGCAGACTAGGTGCTGTGAGACATGCCAGTGGGGTGCGAGTTCACACTGTTGGGGGCAGAAGAGCCCGGCTTCTTGGAAGAAACGGACATTTACACTGAGATCTGAAGGATGGAAGGAACAGGGAGGCGTGTTTTGGGTCAGGAGCTCTGCATATGTCCGAGCAGAAGGCCTGGATGCGATCGCACTGTTGGGAGAACTGAGAAGACGTCTGGGAGGCTGGACCAGGACAGCGGGAAGGGGCGGAGAGGGCTGGAGAAGTGGCCGAAGTCAGGTCACTCGTGTCTGCGAATTTGGACTTTATCTTGAGAATAATAGGACACTTTCAATGAGAATTAATCTAGGAGAGAAATTATCTGAATTATGTTGAAATTTTAAAAAATTATTGTTGTGAAGAGAGCGGACACAGGGAGACGAGTGGGGGCCGCTGTGGCCGTCCCAGTGAGCGGACACTCCCTCAGGGGAGGAGCTGGTCAGGGGGATGGCAAGAATTTGGCAGAGTGGAGATAAGCTATGGAGACAGAGCCTGCAGGACCCCAGGGTGTCAGAGGAGGAGAGAAGCTACCGTGACGTCAACGTTTAAAAGTTCCCGGTTTGGAGGGAAACCTCGGGGTCCTTGGAGGTCGGGGGAAGCATGGTGCTGGGGTCAGCTCAGGGGGCAGATGTTTATGTTCTGTGACTGATTCTCTTCTGTCTGCATGCTGTTCTCTTTCCTAATTTGACACCAAAGTGAAGGCTACGTCCACGAGGCTAATAAATGCAGAAAATTAGGCAATAATTTCCCGAGTGAACCTGTAGCCAAGATTTGGAAACCATTGAAAAGAACTCTTGTGCTGTGTGCGAGACATGTTGTAGGACAGTGGGTGGGGGGCGGAGTGAGGGACGGGAGGGGACGTCGGGGGTCGTGACGTGACCCTGCCCCTGGGGACTGAGAAGGTCCAGCTCTCAGGCCTGCTGGTCAGTCTGCCGTGCAAAGCCGCCGACTGTTCGGAGTTTCCATTTTGCTTTGTTGGCCTCGTGACTTCATCCATTCACAGGTTCTTTAAACTGCAGAACAAGAACAAGGCAGTCGGTGGCGTGGTCAGTGCCCCACTGCTCCCAGGTCTGCCTGCTTGCTGACATGTGCCCTCTCCTCTCCTGCTTAGGACACGGAGGTGCTGAACACGGCCATTCTCACCGGAAAGGCTGTTTCGGTTCCCGTCAAGGTCGTGGGTGTTCAAGAGGACGGTTCTGTGGTCGACGTGTCGGAGTCTGTGGAATGCAGGTCTGCGGACGAAGACGTCATCAAGGTACAGCCCGCTGGACCTACGGGTCTCCCAGCTGCCAGGGCTTTGGGGGCCCCTTCTTCTGTCCCAGGTCTTGTTCTGACCGGGCGTCCCAGGCTCCGAAGGGCGCGAGCCAGGATGACCACCCTAAGGAGTGAGTGACTGACGGCAGGGGCACCCCTGGGAGCAGGAGGAGGCTGCACGGGGGTGCTGTTCCGTCCCCTGGAATGGGTCCCCTGGCCTTAATCTCCAGCAGAAATAATTTTCTTCCCTCCTTTGGCTTGTAGGACAATATTTCCCTAATTTTAGCAATCTACGTGCAATCTTTTAAATTTTTGCCAACTTCCTGTGTCAAATAACATTATTTGCTCAATAGATTTTCTTTAAATGCCTCACTTTTTCAAACTTAAATACTAATTTTGCCTCATTATAAGACAGTACAATCCATGAGCTTGATGTACTAATTTTTTGTTAATATACATTAAAATAAATGACTATTACATTAAAAAAAGCTTCATCCATGTGCCACCTAACTTAATTCGAGTGAGTGGGATACAGCACACAATTTGGGAAGTCTGGCCATGGGGCATTTCTGCTTGGCTCTTCATTCTAATTAACTGTATTTATGAGCCCAATTCAGCCAGGAACCAGCCCATGGATTTTTTCATGTTCTTTGCAAGGGTCTGTTTGAGCCACCAACATTAGTTTCTGCCTATTTTTTCTTGGCACGCTCGTTGGCCGTTTCCTTTTGCAGCAAAGAACTCAAGGAGACAGGATTTAAATCTTTAGAACCATCTTTTCTCCTTGAGGTTGCTCAGACAGCCCAGGCTGTATCTATTCATTCGTTTTAGAAAATGCAATCATGCTGAGTCCTCTCCTTCCTCACGTTCCTCCGGCTCCTGTTTAAAGCTTAGATGGAACTTGGTGCCAGTCTGAGGAGCTTCGTGGCAGACAGAAAAGCCTGTAGGGTTTTCCCTGTGGGAGAAAAGATCCGGCAGGACCCGATTTCTTCTAATTGTGACCTACAGGAGGTTGTGCCTTAAGCCAAAAATGGTTTTAATAAAGAAGAATTGATGTGTCTGTGAGGCCTAATTAAAAAAAATTAATCCTTGGGAAACCCAAATTTGGCATAGCCTGTTTCCTGGGCTTGGAATGCTAATTCTCCCCCGAGACAGAAGGTGGACTAGCTTCAAAGTACACACAGCCTTGCCCTGGGGCTCCTGGCAGGCCTTGTCCTCCTTGGGCAGGTTTGATTAAACAAATCTAAAGCCTTCTAAATTCAGAGTTTAGAAGGATCTGAGCCAGGTCGTGCAAGCTCATCAGAATGAGAAGTACTCACGATACGTTGCCCTTGGTTGCCCTTGACAACACACATTATTTACATTATGTCCCCCTGTCATTCCAGAAGGGAGACACTGGTGATGGCATAGGGACATGGTGTCTGTGTGATTATGCTGTCACCGGCTCCAGCAAAAGGCTCCCCACTGCAGTTCCCTAAGCCTTGTTCCCACCTGAGAGGCTGCTGTGGGGTCCCACAGGGTGGGGGCCCCCCTCCTGCCCTGGAGAGCCCTACCCTGTAGAGGCGGGTCCAAGTCCACGGATCCCACCATTGCCTTATACTTCGTTGTGTCCCCACACAGAAACGTGCTGAAATCATCCTCTGCCCGGCCTGATAGACAGATTGCTTTGCAAGACAATAGTTTTTGCTCAGCCGTCACTTCTGTGGCCTCATGGAGATGGGACTTACTCCTAGCAAATTATGGCCTGATTTTCAGAGGAGCAGACCAGAGTGTGCAGATCACCAAGCTCAGAGCTGCTTTCAGGCTTTTCGAGGGGAGTCCAGGCTCTGCTGCAAATCCTGGGGCTGGGTCCGTTGAGAGGATTAATTGATTGGCTATGGTGCATTTGTTATGGCTTCAGTGTCAATACTTGTAATAAATTTTGCCACAGCACTAAGATGAGCAGCGCCATCTGCGGAGCTGTGCACTGGCCTCAGCATCATCCCAGGGGCATTCCCAAACGAGTGGCACGTTCATTAGCATCCCACGGAGAGACCCCCTTAGTCTGTGGGATTGTCACTCACTCACTTCTTCATGGTGCATAAAATGCTGTGTGATCCCCAGGGAGAATCTTGCAGGGTTCACCAAAGATCTTCACGCCTTGAAATTCTGTGCATTGGGACCATGATTTAGTAAGGGAGAAAGTATGAACTTGGGAAGATGTAAATTGCGGTGGCAAACGAACAAATTGGCTTCTTTGACTCAGGATTGAATGACTTTTGGAGGACAGAATCTAAGAACATAAATGATCTCGAAAGACTGGAAGCTTGGCCTAATCTGGAAAGGCTGGGAGGCAGTGTTACCAAACCAGGTCTGTTTTGCCTGCCACACGATTACGTCAATCACTGAGACAAGGAGGCTGTAGCAGAGAAAGGGTTTATTCACAAGGTAGCCAAGTGAGGAGACGGGAGACCAAATCTCAAATCTGCCTCCCTCCAAATGGGGGTTAGGGATATTTATGGGATTAAGGGGCAGGGTGGCCTGAAGTGTGGGAATAGATGATTGGAGGTGAGGAGAAGGCAGGTAACTGATGATCCGTGCAAGTGTGGTCAAGCTTCTTGGCTCTTCATAGGATGCGTGTTCACAAAATGGCGGCATTACCATAAGTTCAGGGTGGAGCTTTCAGCTCCTTGATGTCAAAGGATCACCTGTCAGTCATCTGTGCAGACCCGGTTGATGAGCGGGAGGTCTCGACTGGCCTCAACTGGACAAATAGTCAACTCTCAGTTCATGAAAAACTTAAGCACTTGTTACCATGGTGACCCAGGCATCAGAGATGTTATCTCTAGGTGGCTTTAGTACTGCATTATCTAACTACTTTTGCAAACAGACAACTAACTGAGTATAGTTAAAGCAAATTGGCCCCCAATTTCAGGAGAAATGTCAAGTTTTAAGTTGACCACTACTACTTCTGGTAGTGGAGGATGCGTCTTGATAGTAGTGTGTATGTGTGTGTGTGCATGCATGCGCGCAAGGTCTTGGCACTTTTATTGATAGTGAGATCTAATGAATCAACTGTTTGAAGAGGCTGCCACAGGTTAGTGAGATTTTCATTGCCATTAATGGTACATGATCCCAGAACAGAGGTCACAGGCAGGCAGACTACAGACTGGATCTGGCTCAGAGGTGTGTATGTGTATGTGTGTTATTATTTAATTTGTTGCCATCCTGTAAAAAGTGGCAAATTCACATAGAAATCTGGATTTCCAGCTTCTCATGAAAATCACAAGGTCAAGTAGCCCCGGGTCCGCATTGCTCCCTGTGACCCTCACCTGGAGCTGACTAGCGGACGCCCCTGTGCTTGAGGCCTGTGCCCTCCAGACCACCACAGTCTCCACCCCTCCCTCTTGTCTCCCACATGGGGGCTGAGGGACAGTTGTCACTTCTTGTCACACTTTTGTTGCCGGTTTTCGATAGATTTCAGAGGAAAGTGAGACATTTCTTGTACCCTGGTCTCTATAAAAAATCAGCGACAGATGACGGATCTTGCTCTGTCACTCTGACAGAGGATCTGTATCTTTCTAGGCCATAAGAGGAACACTGGAAATGGGATTGTGTTCTGCTCCAAAGTGTCTGGGGGGCTGAGGGCCCTTGAAATGAAATCACAGGAGAAATGATTGAAGGAGCTTTGAGCATTGAGCCTGGTGATGAGAAGAAAGGGCCCAGGGGTGAGGTGAAGAGGGGGACGTGGCAGGTCTTTTCAAGCCTTTCAAGGGCCGTCATGCAGAAGGTTGAGTAGATGTGTGCTTTTTGGATTCCAAGAGTGGAAGTTCAAAGGGAGCCGCTCTAGCTCAATATGAAGGAAAAGAACGCAGAGGTGCTGAGTTTCTTGGTTAAGCTTTGAGAAAGACGGTGTCGACTCAAATCCTGACTCCACCTTCCTTGCTGTTTAACCTCGGATAAGTTGCTTACCATCTCTGAGCCCAGTGGCCTCATCTGTGAAATAAGGATGATAGTGATACAAGGGGGAGGAACCGTCAATAGAGACTTGTCCTAAAGTCAGTGGATAAGGCAGAACTAATGATGATCAAGATAATCCTTGAAAATCCTTTCAAGAATACGTGGGTTCAAAACGTTCAAAAGACAGTTGAGATTTAAAAACATTTCTCCTTGCAGTTGAGCTGTGGCTGGATTTCCTGGGGCGTTGCAGGGCAAGGGTTCGTTTTAAAGGGAATCTCGGGGAGAGTCTCCATAAGTTAGATATGGGGGAGTCAAAGGTAAGAGACATTTTCCTCTTTCTTTTAGTTTTTCACATCTTCTGATGGAAGTGCTGTCAGTTAGCAACCTAAAGTTATTCTAAACACATAAAATTGAATTACCATTTGTTAAATCCACGTGTGATAAAACCCCAGCATGGAGTTAGGGGGATGATTAAATAAGGGTGTCTATATAAAGGGAGTCACACAGTGCTTGATCTGTAATATATCAATCAACATTATATCTGTATATCTATATCTATATTTACATATCAATATCCATATTCATATCTGTATATATAAATGTTTATTTTTTTTGAGGAAGATCAGCCCTGAGCCAACATCTGCTGCAAATCTTCCTTTTTTTTTTTTTTTTTTTTGCTGAGGAAGACTGGCCCTGAGCTAACATCTATGCCCACCTTCCTCTAGTTTATATGTGGGATGCCTACCACAGCATGGCGTGCCAAGTGGTGCATAGACCCACACCTGGGATCCAAACTGGTGAACCCTGGGCCACTGAAGTGGAATGTGTGCACTTAACCACTGCGCCACCAGGCCAGCTCCTCATATCTGTGTATTTTAACTGCTACTTGATTGTAAGGCCTACGGTAGCTTTGTTTCATTGACTATTCTGTCCACAGTCCTAAGCAGGGTCTGGAATACAGTGGGAGCTCAATAAATGTTTGTTGAGTATATTAACAAATGAAGGATGAATGAATGAATGCTGGAGCTTCCCAGAGGTGGAACAAGCTACTAGGCAAGTGTGGTT